GCTGTTTACTTAGACTCTGTGATCCTTTTTTCAGTTGAGGAAGGGAAGGGCACTGACTGGTATCTGAGAGGTGTCGGTGCCTTACCTGTGCAGCAGGGAGCAGAGGGAGTACTTCGTTTGGCCTACTTGTCTTTTATATAAGTGACAAGAAAGGTATATTTGGCAGCGCTCCCCGGAGAGTTACCTGCCAGATCTCACCTCCGAGTTGAATAGGGCCGGTACTTGTTTCGTTCAGCCCTGTTCCCTGAGACAAGCCAGGTTGGAGGTATGCTCCCTGCAGGAGGTTGTCATGTGTTCCCCAGAGTTGAGGGACCTGAGCAGTTACGCCACGGTCTGCACCTGGGGAGCAGGAATGCTGGGGCTCCAGGCATGTGTAGCCCTGCCTGCCTGTTTGCTTGGTTGCTGGGCACTTAACTCAGGTCCTCATGCCAAGCAAGCATTGTTATCCATTGAAACATTTTCTCAGCCCCCAACTTGTTTTGACTTTTGATTTTAGTACTTACATCACTAGAGAAGCTGTGACGTCAGCTCAGTTGTGAAGAACAGGTGTGCAGCTAGAATGCCTGGGTTTCTGTGTCTCTGTATTGCCTGCCTTCTCTCAGAACTACTTCCTAAGCTTTCTGTCTCCAGTTTTTGCTTTATGTAATAGAATAATAGTGGTTGCTTCATACGGGGTAGTTATGGGCATTCAGTGAAGCATGTGCTGAGGATTTGGAACATAACTTGGCACAAAGTAAGCTACATATAACAGTAGAAGGGAGTAATCTTATAATTGCAATGATAATGTTGTGTATTTAGGTAATATTCTATTGCCTTTTAATAATTTTATGAAGACACCAGATTAGATTCACTATAAAAATGTTTTTCTTGATTTGTGTAAGCAAGAACTTGATTGTGAAAATGCAATTAATTGTTTTTCAATTATATTCCAAAGAAAAAGGTTTGAGATTTGTTGCTTACTCTATCGTAGGTATCTAATGTGTAGCCATGCGGAAGACCTACGGGCAAAAGCTGAATGGGAAGGCAAGGGAACAGCTTCCCGCTCCAAACTACTGGACAAGCTTCAGAGTAAGAGTCCTTTTTGATGTGTATTTCCTCTTGGATTGGAAGTAGGTAATATAGAGCAAATAGGAAGCTCATACCTAGATACACTTGCCCTGGGTTTTTGTGGAAGGAGTTCATTAAAGAGCCCTTTACACCAAAGATTCTCACACTCACCAGATGTGATCTGGAGTCAGTGTGGAGGTGCTGGACTCGGCATTCTCTGTATGTTTGTATTCTTTAGTGATGCTCTAAAGATTTTCTTTGGATGAAAAGGTCCATGACTAGAGAAACAAATGAACCCCAGCTTCAAATCATGCATTTTACGGTTTCCGCTCTTTGTTTAATGGGGACTGGATTTCTTTAGGTAGATTGTTTTATGCTTCTCCTAGCTGTGTTAGATCATTTTCAAGTTGTGTTGGGGGGGTGTGATTTCTTTTTTACCATATCTTTATATAAAATACCTCCTTTCTATTCAAATCATGCTGTTATATCATGTTGCAGCAGGAGTGGAAATCTCATGCCTGGAAGAAATGTAAAGCATAAGAGGGTTGGAACAAGTTTTTACTGATGTCTGAGTTTCCTCAGTAGCCGTGGCATTAGTAGCCTCAGGGTTTTTGTTAAGTGAAGATTTATCTTATACTGATCATCTACTGATACATAATCATTGGATTCTGTATCATCTTCCTTTTACTTCTGTAGTGTGTAGTTTCTGTAGGTGGTGTTAGTCCCCCAGAAACTCCGCCTGCAGGATACAGCCAGTGTATTCCTTCCTAGTGGAGGTATCACTGGAGCCTTTGAAAATCCTCCTAAGACTTGCTCATGTCATTTCCCTAGAGCTTGTCAGTGCGAAGGGAACAGTAGTGCTGAGGTGAGAGGGACAGGAGGAGTGCAATGTCTTCAATGAACGTTCACCGTTTGCTGTCATCTTTATTTCTCTTTTTAAAATGTCTTCCATTAAAGCCTATTTACCACCATCAGTGATGCTTCCCCCACGGCGTTTACAGACTCTCCTGCGGCAGGCGGTGGAGCTGCAGAGGGACCGGTGCCTCTACCACAACACCAAACTTGACAGTAACCTAGATTCTGTGTCTCTGCTGATAGATCATGTTTGTAGTAGGTAAGAGACCGTTTCCTGCATTTCCAACATCTTAGATCGTACAGAAGGAATTAGGAACTGTACCGGCACATTTCCCGTGGTTTCTTGGTGTAGCTGTGTAACAGTTCATATCTGATACACTATTTATTCACAGTAAAACCCAGGACTACTAAAAGGGAAACGTAGTAGAAAAAACAGAAAATTGGTCTCTACTATATGGGCCTGTGCTTATGTAGTAAGCCACAGTTGGGAGCTGAAACCCAAAAGCCAATTTTTCATTTTCTTATCTGTGGATTTGGTTAGTTATTTTCTATGTCCAACAGTTGAACTATGTACCAAGTTATTCTCTGCATATAAAAATCATTGAAATACTTTTTGCTTAGTGAAAGTTCTGGTTTTGTAAAAGAACAGCATCAAAAATGGTTAGAATAATAGGCATTAACTATGTTTATTTTTTACAAAACCATGCAAATAATTGAAGTTGGACGAATTCAAGCTTGTCTTTTGGTGTTGGGTAATTTTTAGTAAAAATTTCCCTTCTATTTTAATGATGCTCTCTAAAATTAAATCATAACTTTAAATTTAAAATACCAAGATAGAAATTGTGAGCCCTTCCAAACTCCAGGAAAGAAATGACTTGGTTCTGACCAGCCAAACACCAAGAGCAGGCTGCTGTAGTGCGCATGCTCCATTCCTTCTGCTGTCATTCGCTGAAGAATTAATGAAAGTAATGAATTTCAGAAATGAAAGACAGACGTGTATGTGTTAGTCAATAAGGAACTTTTGAGTAACCATAAATACTATGCACATAGCAAGATACTGGTTTAAAATAAAACTTAAGGATTATTTATTTATTTTTAAAATTTTAAAAACTGTATTTTGTATATGAGTGCTCTGCATGCCAGAAGAGGGAATCAGATCCTATTACAGATGGTTGTGAGGCACCATGTGGGTGCTGGGAATTGGACTCAGGACCTCTGGAAGAGCAGCCAGTGCTCTTATCCTCCAAGCCATCTCTCCAGCCGTTGAGGTGTGTTTAAACCAGGTGTTTTACTTTGTTTTTTATTTTGCCAGTGCTAGAAATAGCACATAGGTCCTTCAAATGCTAGTCAGAAGTTGTGCCACTGAGCTAGCCCCCAGCCCTGGAATCTGCCTGTGTAGTAGTTACGTCCTCACTCACTGCACTTGTAAGAAGAAAGGTCTGTCTGAGCTGCTGGCCTGTGCAGCGATGCTCACTCATCCTAAAGTATTGGCTGCTGACTTGGTGTGAGTTACTGCTCTGCTAGGGTGTGGTTAGTGATCCCTTCTCCTTGGCACCATCCGCTCCTTGGCACTGCTCTTTGTCTTGTTGGGAGAAGTTTTAAAATAAAGCTTTTTGTCTAAATGTGTGTGTGGGGGGGCGGGATAATAGATTAAAAGGGCTATATTGTCAGTCCCTTGCTTCATAGCTCCTTTAGGAGGTTGTTAAAATTAAGGCACTTGTAGACCAATGTCTCTTTGTGGCTCATAAATTCATTTCTTTTGGGGACATTGAAAAGTACGGTGCCAGAAGTGTCAGAAAGTAAGAGCCTTTCCTTCCTGTGGAAACAAAAACCTATTACAAAGATGATTTTTTTTCCTGTATACTCTTTAATTCCCGATATCACTATCTGTGGAACTAATATATAACAAAGACATAGTCTAACCTTTCCATTCTTCACCTCGGGTGGGGTGCTCACTAGCCATGTAGTAAGTGCTCTGACATGTTATGTTGCTAGAACTGAAAGACTCTTGCTCTTTAAAAGTAATTGTTCCTTCTTAAAGATTAAAAAAATGCACACACGGTACAGAGACATACTTGCAGGCAAAACACCCATCCATATAAAAATCTATTAGAAAACAGCATTGTGCCTCCTGTTTACCACCTCCCTCCTTCAAAGGTAGCTTCTCAAGTCCTTCCCTGATGTGTGAGTCTTTGTCTGTGGCCTTATTTTTCTTCACCAGATTCCTATACTGTCACTGCTGATGTTGGTGAGGAACAGTCTTTTTGTCTGTTTAAGTAGCAGCTGCTCTCCAGTTTATCTTGAGCTCTCTATAGTATTATAGTCTGATAGCTTTCTCTAACTATTTCAGACTCTAGACTGATGGTCTGACTCCTCCCAGGGCTCCCGTTCTCCATCTGTCCTTTAATAGTGTGTTCCAGGTTCCTTCTTTCCTCATTCTTCCATAGGTTAGACTTCCACGAATCTAATGCTTCCTGGAAATAGGCCAGAGCCTCAGTCTTCACTCCTGAGCCTTAAACCTGAGTACAGTGTGCCTCTTGCTCTAGTTAAACATAACAGATCCAGATAGATTCTCTCTACCTCTTAACTCAGGCCTGCTAAATCTGGTTTGTTTGTTTTATACTTGAGTTCTGTTTTATTACTTTTTCTTTTTCACATGTATGATATTTGTACTTGAGTGTATGTTTTCACATGTATGTGGGTACACATGTACTTGTACTTCTGAGTGGAGGCCCAAGGTTGATACTGGAAGTCTTTCTTAGTTGTTCTTCCACTTTATTTGTTCAAGACAGGGTCTCTAGATGAACCTGGAGCTCATCAATCCCAGAAAGTCTCTAGCCAGTTTGCTCCAGGGATTCCCGTCTCCACCTTCAGAGGCTGGAATTGCAGCGCGTTACCATGTCCACCTGCCATTTCCATGGGGTTCGGGCATCTGAACTTTCCATCTTCTTGCTTGCAGGAACTTAAGCTGCTGAGTCCTCCTCCCACCCCTGCATTTCCTGTCTCAGGGAGGCTCTACCTACCCCAGTTCACCAAGCTGGAAACCAGGAGCCGTCCTCGCTGTTCATTCTGAGAGAGTAACACCAGGCATTTACTCAGGAAGCTGTCCCTTTGCCACACTGGAATATAGAGCCTGGATTTAATTCCTTAAGTTTTAGCTAGAGGTCTTCAAAAAAAAAAAAAAGTTGATCATTTTTAACCATCTGCTTTAGTTTCTTCTAGAAACTAGATTTTAGCATTGGAGCTAGAAAGATATTTTCTGAAATTAAATGTAAGCATACTATCCATTCTTTCCTCTCTGGAAAGTAGAGAACTGATTATGAATAACTGAGTTATGAATTTGAAAAACCCATATAAACACTGAAGAGTTTTTATTAGATTGTACACAATTTCTTATCAGCTAGTGTGCACATATTTTTGGTTAAATGTGACCGGTAAAGGACAATTTTTTTTTCTAGACTTTTTTATACTGATAATCAATGGAAGTATGTTTTCATATGCTGCTTTTATAAGTACTTTTTTTTTTTTTTTTTTTGGTTTTTCGAGACAGGGTTTCTCTGTGTAGCTTTGCACCTTTCCTGGAACTCGCTTTGGAGACCAGGCTGGTCTCGAACTCACAGAGATCCGCCTGCCTCTGCCTCCCAAGTGCTGGGATTAAAGGCGTGTGCCACCATTGCCCAGCCCATAAGTACTAATTTTTTAGTACAGGATTTTTATAAAATATTTGTAGACGCAATTTAAAGATTGAGTTTGGTCAAAATGCTACATTTACTGTTTTCTTTCACACACTACTGGTTTTTAATACCATCTTAAGTTTTAAAATCATTTTAAAACAAAGACATCAACCATCACTTATGTATCTGAAAAAGACTGTTAATACATTTTCACATTACTGTAGTCTTCATTTTTAATTTATTTTTAGATTTTATGTATATGAATGTTGTGCCTTCGTGCCCTGTCTGCATGCCTGTTGTCCACAGAGCCCAGCAGAGGGCACTATCCTAGAGCTGGCGTTGTAGACGGTGGTGAGCTGCTGAATGGCACTTCTCTAAGAGCAGAGCAGCAATGCTCTCCAGCACCGAGCCGTCTCGCCAGCCCCACCTTAGTCTTAGAAAGGGTGAAATGATCATTTTAACGTGACTGATAGCTGTGAATAGACTAAATGCTTTATGCCCTGTAATTTTGAATCAGTCCTCACTTAAAGGTTATTTGTTAATCTAAATCAATCTTTCTACTGTGATCAGCTTTAGGCATATGAAGTTTTCATTGAAATTTTATTAGCCTTTGAAAAATATTATTTAAAGTTGACATTTGGAAAGATAATTCAGTCAGTTTTAGGTTCACATTTTAGTTCAGTTACCTACCAGTTTTCTGAAAATCTGGTAAGATAGTGGCTTTTGAGCCTTGTTAAAATGAGGCTGCTAATTTCCCTTGTCAAATGAGTCTCAAGAATCAGTGTTCTGGAGACTGGAGCAGTGACTCAGCAGTAAGAGGAGTCATTCTGGAGGAGGACCCAGATTTGGTTCCCAGCACCCCCATGGCTGACAGGTATCTGTCTCTGCAGTTCCAGGGCTCCAGCTCCCTCTTGTGGCCATGTGAACACTGCAACACAAGTGGTGTACAGATAACTGCAAGCCAAACGCCCATGTACATAAGAAAAACAGAACGTGTGAAAAGTGCTTAATAAAACACAGTCATGCATTGTTTTGGTTCACAGTAAAATAACAGTTTAGTATTAAAGCAGTTCTTAGTTAAGTCATCTAAAAGTTTAAAACTGCCGACTATTCCTACTAAGGTAATTGCAGCCTGTCAGGCTGAGGAGTTGACAGTATACTCCTTTCCTCTGTGCATGCTGGTGCACACTTTTTTGTGTCGGGGGGATGAGGCCTTGCTATGTTGCCCATGCTGGTTTCAAGCTCTTGGGCTCAATCGGTGTTCCTTCAAGAACTCCACAGGTGCTGAGACTATGGGCTCACTCCAGTGTGCTGGCCTCTTATTACTTATTGATTGGGAAAAAATAGAGAAGACTGTTGAAGTCTTTTGAAGATAAATTTTTAAAGTGTGATTAGGCAAGATCGTGCCTGCCTGCCTCTTAACCCAGTGCTTGGAAGACTCAGCCTGGGCTGCAGTAGTAAGAACCAGTCTCCCAGGGCAGAGGGCAGAGGGCTGAGAGATGGCCCAGCGGTTAAGAGAGCACTTGGTATTTTTGCAGAGGACCTGAGTTTGGTTCCCAGCACTCACGTGGCGGCCCACAGCTGTCTGTAACTCTGGGTCCAGGGAATCTAACACCCTCTCTTGGCCTTCACATGGTACAGAGGCACACATACGGTGCACATACATGTATGTAGGCAAAGCACTCAGAGCACATTATTTGCAGGGGTAGTTTTACCCCTTCCGTCATGTTTGTCCCAGGAATTGAACTTGGGTCACCAGGCTTGACAGGGGGCACTGTTCCCAGCGAGCCGCCATCTTGCTAGTTCTCATCCTTTACTAAGGAGTGTGTGCATGTGTGTCACAGCACATGTGAGTCACCACACGTGTGGAGGCAGAGGCAACTTGACAAGTGAGTGTTCTCCGCTGTTGGAGGGATGGATTGTCAGCTGATCGCAAGCACTTGGACCCTTTGGGCCATCTCACTGGCTCCCCGTTTTTGTCGGACCAAAGCTCTTAGTAATAGCTTAACTGACTTGATATGCTTGGAGATACTGCATTATTTCTTATTCCTTGTAGAACAGCCAACTAATGCCATTCATTTATAAAGTGGGTAAACATCATTCCTGAATAATAATTATTTATATGAATTGCCTTAATCAGACCAGATAGCCTTCAGAAGGCAGCAAAAAAGGAAGAAAACTTCAGGTTGAAGTAGATTTTATATTACAGATTTTCACTAAAGTTGACTTGAACAAAAAGTACATGATGTCATAATGTTTTAATTTTCAACATATCAAAATAAATTTGATTCTTGAGAATTGTAAATGCATTCATATTTATACTTGAGAATTCCAAAAGGAGTTCTGCCAGTTGTTAAATGCCCTTTTTATTGCTAACAATGCTTTGAAAGAGTAATTATGTGTGGATTTGTTTGTTTTAGGAGACAGTTCCCCTGTTACACTCAGCAGATACTTACGGAGCATTGTAATGAAGTGTGGTTCTGTAAATTCTCTAATGATGGCACTAAACTAGCAACAGGATCAAAGGACACCACAGTTATCATATGGCAAGTTGATCCGGTAAGTATTCCTGGTTGTGTCCTTAGATTACAGAAGGGTCTATTTTTTTTTTTTTTTTAAGATTTATTTATTTAATGTGTGTTGTAACATGAATCTTAAAAGGTCTTATTAATTAAAAAAATCTGGAGCCAGGTATTGGGTTGAATGCTGAAAGGTCAGAGAAGCAGAACAAGCCACAGCCACCTCACCTTGCCAGTTCCTCAGCTGATCCTGTTTCCTCAGACTGGAAGCTTCTGAGTCCTCATCCAAATGGATCTCAGCTGAACTGTTGCTCAAAACCTAAAAGCTTAACCAGCTCTAGTTCCTGGTTTTCACACCTTATATACCTTTCTGCTTTCTGACATCACTTCCTGGGATTAAAGGCGTGAGTCACCATGCCTGGCTGTTTCCAGTGTGGCTTTTAACTCACAGAGATCCAAATGGATCTCTGCCTCTGGAATGCTAGGATTAAAGGCATATGTGCCACCATTTTCTGGCCTCTATGTCTATCTAGTGGCTGCTCTGTTTTCTGACCCCAGATAAGTTTATTAGGGTGCATGATGTATTTGGAGAACACAGTATCACCAGTGTGTGTTGCCAGCATATGTGTGTGTGTGCGCGCATTTTGTGTGCGCCTCTCCTGCACAGGACTGAGGAGTGCATCTGATTCAGAGTGATAGATGGTTTGAGCCATGATAAAGGAGCTAGCAGTCAAACCCAGTCCTCTTATTTTTGAATCTAGTTACTTTTTTGGTTTTTCAGGACAGGATTTCTCTGTGTAGCCCTGCCTGTCCTGGAACTCATTCTGTAGACCAGGCTAGTTTTATACTCCAAGATCTGCCTACCTCTGCCTCCCGAGTGCTGGGATTAAAGGCGTGCACCACCACTACCCATCTGCTTACCTATTCTTAGTATACATATGTATAACTAGTTGTCTTCTGCAAATGCCTTTTTGGTCATGTCTGTCACTTGATTTTTATTCATTCATTCATTTATTTATTTTTGAGACAGGTTCTCACTCCATTTCCCAGGCTGGTCTGGAACTCAAATCTCTCCTGGTCAGCCAGCCTTCCTTTAAGTGAGGACTGATTCAAAATTACAGGGCATAAAGCATTTAGTCTATTCACAGCTATCAGTCACTTTAAAATTATCATTTCATCCTTTACTAAGACTAAGTAGAGATGTATCATCATATCTGACTATGATGATCACTTTTTTCTATGCATTTTTCCTCTGTGTTTTTTATATGTTTGTAGCTAAGTATTATCCTAGTTGTTCGGTGTTTGTGCCAGAGATTGTGCTAAGTCCTTGTGCATTCTTTAATCCTCTGAATGACTGAGGTGCTCAAATGTTGAGATGTTGATACTGGGCTGGAAGTGTTCAATGCCAAGTATAATTTGTGGATCTCATGTACAGTCTGCCTGTTTTTCCCCAGTGATAATATTTGAAAATTATTGCATATGGATTTTAAGTGCTAAGTCTTCTCTAATCAGAATTGTTTTTATCACTAGCTAACCTACATATATATAGAACTAAGCGTGTTCATTTCTTTTAACCAGTTGAACATTTGTACTAGTCAAAAAGAGCATGACTCCAAATAGATTAAGGAACTACACTTGTTTTAGGAGCCGTTCACCTGAGATCTAAAGTAAGTAAAACTTGGTTTAGAGCTAAAACACGGCTTTGGCCTCTGGATACATACACTGCCCAAAGTAGAACAGGTTAGTCTTAGGAGCCAATGTGATGGTTCAGGGGGTGAAGAAGGCATGTGCTTTGTCAACCTGGAGACCTGATTCTGTTCTCAGGGACCTACATAAAGGGGGAAGTAATGACTCCACAAGGTTATCCTGATGTGTGAGCCAGGGCACGTGAGCCCACACACAAATATCATGCCCATACAACATACATAACAAGTAATTTAAAGGCACCATAGAAGGAAAAGTACAAATTTGAGACAGGTACTTCTTGAATACCTTTCTGTGATACACTGCAATTGGTGGTAGGAAAGCACAGCATTCCTCACTCTAAAGAAGAAGCTCTTGGGAGCTGGAGCGGTGGCTTAGCAATTAAGAGCACTGGGGTTCAGTTGTTAGCACCCACATGGCAGCTCACAGCTGTCTGTAACTCCAGGATCCAGCACCGTCATGTAGACACACATGCAGGCAAAACACCAATGCACACAAAATAAAAATAAATAAATAATTTTTTAATAAAGGGGGGGAGCTCTTACCTTTTTTGTATCATAATACCTAGTTAGCAGTCTGACAAACTTACTGGTCTTCTTAAACTAATACTGCTAAATACACAAGCCAAAACACATAGCCTTGTGTGTGGGTGTGTGTACATGTATATACACACATATATAATACCATGTATCTGATATACTTATAAATAACACACTAATTAAGCAACCTAATTATATTGAGATGTGGGCTCTCAACCTACAAGGAAAAGGTATAATATATGATACTCCTTTATTAACCCTAAATAATTTTAGTAGCAGATAATGGCTGCCAGCATTCTAAATTAGTAAACTTAAATAATATTGTAAGATATCCATTTCCAATATGAAATGAAAGTATTTGAATTTTCTCTATTGTTAAGGCATAATACTGAATATACTGTTACCTAATGTACTACCTAATATTTCTACATACATTGCATCAGTTTAAATGCATTAGTGATAGATTAAGTCACAAATAATTCATTGGCATCTATGTTAGTCAGGACTTCTATTGCTGTGAGGAGACACCATGACCACAGCAACTCTTATAAAGGAAAACAACATTTAATTTGTTTAATAATTAAAATAGCATCTAATCTATGTCTTGGTGAGCAGGCAGCAGCAGGTTTCTGTGTCCACACTTGAGCACAGGAGACCTCAAAGCTTGCCCCATAGTGACACACCTCCTCCAACAAGGGCACACCTCTCCTTTCAAACCATCACCACAGAATCCATGAAGGAGAAGAAATAAGAAGCCATCTCCTTGGAGTAATTTAGCCAACAATGAGCCCAGATTTGAATTCTCTGCTTGTCTTTCCCCTGTGTCTCTGTCATTCTCTCTGTGTTGTATGAGTCTGAATCTGCTTGCTTTAATGCCGCTTTGTGAATGTGTCCCTAACAGAGGCATCAACAGTTTTACACAAGGAATGAAGCCACTGGCTCCAACTGACTTAGATAACAAACAAAGGCTATCAAGTAATCATATCTGTATGTTGTAATCAACATTTATGGTAGATATTTATTTTATGAGGCCACTTGGATCCTATTTTTGGCAAATGATTGTCATAGCATACATGCATGCCTTACTTTGGGTCTGGGAATGGAAGAGTACATAACTTAAAACACTAGCTTAGATTGTGAAGGTTGACTCCATGGGAAATCCAAGGCAGGTAAGTTTGGTTGTTTACATTGCTATCTTTTGAGACAGGTCTCTCTGTGTAGCCCTGGCTGGCATCACACTCAGATCCACCTGCCTGTGCCTCAGGAGTGCTGGGATTAAAAGGCTTATGCACTATGCCTGGTTACATTGTTCTCTTAAAAGTAGGTTAAACAAACAGGCTGAGTACACAGTAGAATAGCAATCTTAAGTCATAAGTGACCTTAAGGTGTATTATTAACTTGGCTGTGAGGGCCAGTAGAATTCTAGTCCTTTAGAATGTAAGAGATAGTTTTATAATAATTCGTTGCCACAGTGCTAATAAACTAAGTGCTATTTTATTTCTTGCCTACATTCAGGATGGAAGGAATCCGGGTGGTAGTGCACACATTTAATCCTAGCACTGGGAGGCAGAGACAGGCGGATCTCGGAGTTTGAGGTCAGCCAAGGCTACACAGAGAAACCTTGTCTCAAGAAAACAAAAAATAAAAGATGGAAGGAAATACTGAATTTCAGACAGTAGTTTATTAGAGGTGTAACTTTAATCTTTTGTGTTCCATAGACCTTTTCTTGTAGATGTCAGAGTAAACTCCCATCAAAGAATAGTATAGGTTAGAAAGGACAATACAATGCAATTAAATAACGTGATTATGTTTATATTGAATAAGTATTATGAGGACATCAAAGAACCTTGTACGTGGGAGTATTGTATTAGAGCTTTATGGTGTAGCATACATGGAGGCAAGAAAGGGACATTCTGGTAGAAAAGGAGTGTGTCTTGACTGCTTCATTCAAACACAAACAGGATTATTTTTAGTGATGGCAAGGAGTCACAAATGACACTCGAAAGCGTTTGGGATGAACATGGCCTTTGAGCTCTAAGGGGTTTGTCACGTTGCTTTTACTAGCAGCTGTGTGGGAGATACCCAGTTTATTTAGCCAGTATAAAATGCCTATTGTGTGTTAATTTTTTTTTAATCCAAGCAACTAAGCATATGAAAAACCCTGATGATTCTGTAATGGACACTGGGATCTCAGAAGAGATCTTGCTACATCTAGAAAGCTAAGGAAAGTAAGAAAAGATTTTAGGTGAAAGATGAAAGAACTGTTTAGGCGAAACTGATTAGGAATGGCCTCGGTTCATTTGGGAGAGGAGTGGAAACCGATGAAGCAAAGCAATCGTTTGTGTCTTGCTGCGGGGTTGGACCCCACATGCCAGTGTTTCCCAGGATGCATTTTCTTGAAAATTAGGTGTGCAGAATGTAATCGGTGTTCATTGTAAAGGATTTTTTTCTTGGCCATATTCACTTAGGAATGCAGGATTAATATTTAGATTCCAGTCTGAAATGTGAAGGATGATTTTCTAATGGCTGTACTACAGAGAATCCCCTGAGCCTGGTGAACTCTTGGCATGGTGGTAGTTTCGCTATGTCAAATACCATTTAGAAAAGTTGACTGCTCTTTTCTATTTTCTTTTTTT